TATATAAAAAATTATTGTCAAATATTTAATACATATTAGTCAGTATTGTTCTGGGGATTAACCAATGGTTGCAATTCAGATGGTAATGAAATGAACTTCTTTTTTTGTTGTTGCTATAGACTTGTTGGCATAGTTTTCTTTTTTTTTTTTCTTAGTCAATACCTTTTTTTCTTCTTTTTCTTTGAGTCGCTTTGCAGCATTAACAAATCGCAGTTGTTTTCTTTTGCATTTTTCTATTTCCTATTAGATTTTGTATTGGTGATATTTCAGCTTTGCTGAGTATGCTTCAAAGTTAAAACAAAGTATTTAAGCTGACCTTTCTGTTGGCTATCTTTTTTCGTGTGGTGGCATTAGGATATGCCAAAACATCATCATCTCCATCACCTGCATTGATAAAAAACATATATATATATATATATATATATATATATATATATATATATATATATATATATATATATATATATATATATATATATTAAACATTATCGCTTCCAACAAGGTTGCAAGCAACCACTAACTAGTGTTGGAGGTTACTGGAAGAGAAAAGATAAAGATTTTAGAGCAAGATAACGATTGACAGACGACTTAAAAGATTGCAAATTATATTAATCAGGAAAGCAAGATAAAGGAAGCGAATTCCAAAGAACTGATGTTCGAGGAAAAAAACTCGACGAATAAGAGTTTTTGGAGCACTTAGGAACAGTAAAAGCACTGTGAGCCCCATGCTGTTGCAGAAGTGAGATCCTTTTCAAGCTTAAATGCCCCCTGAGGGGCATTTGAGCTTATGATTCTGATCATCATATTGATGATCAGAAAGTAAGTTATTATATTCAAGATGAGAGATTAAGTGTTTGTTAATTAAAGATTCATAAACGGTAGTTAGACAAATCAGATCGCTCTCCAGAATTTTTTAAAAATAGGGATAACAGATGCTGCTTTCCAGCAGGTTGGAAAACAAGACTCTGATAAGCACTTGTTAAATAGTTTTGAAAGGATAGATGACAGTTCCGGAGAACACATCTGCAAGACTATAACAGATATGTTGTCCGAGCCACAAGCTGTAGAAGAGTCTAAGCAGGATATCACTTTAGATACAGAAGTTGAAGTAATACGGATGTCGAGCAATGGATCAATCTGTTTGACGGCTATATCAGGTAGAACGCAATTAGTGCAATCAAGAGATGGTATTGATGAAAGGTTCTTAGCAAACAATTCAGCTTTGTCTTTAGGTGAGGTGACAAAGTCTGTAAAAGAAAAAGTATTTAAATAATTTTAAATAATTTGAATTGTTTTAAAATTAAAAGTATTATTAAAAGTTAGATTGTCGCTATGCAACAATTGATCACTTGATCAAATGAAATGAAAAAAAACTGTAAAATGATTGACTTTCCAGGGTAGGAAGAGTTTGCAAGCGGAAAATCTGAAACTGTAGAAAAATTAAAGTTTGATGGTTCTAAGATTTTTTTTTTTTTTTGCTTAGTAAGATTGTTAAAACAATTCACAATGCAGTCAACATTTTTTTTTCCAATTGGATTGACTAGATTGCAAGCTGATTATTACAAACAACAGTCTCTGCATCCAAAATAGAAGTGTTGCTTTGTAATGAACTAAGAGTTGCGTTATCTTTTTTATTTTATAATTGCTCTAGATAATTACAATTTTATAATTGCTCTAGATAATTAGCAACTTTTCCAGCATCTATAGAATCATCAATGTCTGAAAAATTAATTTCTTGAACAATTGATAATTCGAATTCCTAAGAAAATAATAAATAATACTATTGAAATGCAAGTTAGTAAACTTTATGCTTTATTTAGAATTTTTATCAATTTGTACATAAAACATTAGTCACAGTTGCTAGCTAAAGTTTAAATAATAATTTTTATTGTATAGTAGTATTAACAAAAACACAATAGTACAATACTAACCAAAGAACAATTTTTTCCAGTTGTATTTACTGATATACCCTCAGCTTTGTGTAGACAGTTTGGTAAATATACATCACTTGGAATAGCCTGAGGATTAAATGAACAAATTTTACACGACTTGAACACAGATGTAATGCTGCTAGAAGTCATTGCTTTTTCCCAAGCAAATATCCATGTAAAATTTTAACGGCAAGTAATAATTCCTGGAAACTGACCCATCAGATTTTGTGCTATAAAGCGATAATAATCCTTGAGTGGCTTCAATAAGTCGCATCGTTGAAGCCAGTTTGATGTGTGTTAAGGCATTTTCAACTATATGTATCTGGTTCTGGATAGTAATATCAATAGGCTCAAAAAAGTTGTGAGAATTGTGCCCATTCAGAATTAATAACTGAGGACGTTGTGGACCAATGTTTTCTAAAAATGTCTTTGTAAACCATAGTTTTGCTAGGTCCTGCTTAGTCCAACCACTATCGGACCAGCTCCAATTTGTTCCCGGAGGCGCGAACTCAGTGTTAAAACCCCACAAAGACCTGGTTGTTTTTCTCTTCACTATAACCAGGGGTGGAATAAACTTGCTCTGTGCATTCACACGTGCAATAGCAGTGATTGACTCTCGATTTCTACTCGTTTGACTAACGGTTTTTTGTGCCTTTTCGTGCAACCACTTTTCTTGGTTTTACGTCAAGTTGTAGACCAGTTTCATCCATATTCCATATGGATTCTAGTTTAATGGGAAAACCATTTTTTACTTTGACACTTTATCTTTATCCATTTACTGATGTCGAGCTGAAGCTGTACCCTTAGATTATCGAAGAGTAAATTTATGCCCATGCCGGTGTTTAATCCTAGTCCACCACTGGTTGCTTGGAAGTCCTTTCTTGAAGTTTTTATTTTATGGCAAGTTTCCCAGCATAATTCAGGAACTGTGACTTTCCAAAATCTACCTCTAACTTTGTTCTGTTGCTGGAATAATTGATAAGTTTTTCTTCCAGAGCAAAAGGTAGGGTAGGTCCTGGCTTTGTTCCAATAACAACTTTTCCAGAAAGTCTGTCTCTCAATGTTGTACGTGGCAAATTGTACAATACTGCTGCCTCAAACACTGAAAATAATGGCTCTGATATGACATGCTTAATTGCACTCATCATATTTTCTTCATTCCATTTCAGGAATTTGCCCCGTTTCTTAACAGTGACTGATTGATCAATGGAATGATTAGAACCATTAAAACGAGTTAAAGAAACATCAATTGTTGGTAGCTGTTTCAAGTGTCAAGAGTACTACTACCAGATGTTGAAGGAGTTATACCATCATGAAGATGAGTTGTATTATAACATATTGTAGTCTCTGTTACAGAAGCAATCTTTCCAACTGACATCCGGTGAAATCTTGGTGATGATCTACATCATCCATCTCTTGCTTTAACCATGTTTTTTTTAAAGACAATACTTTGATAAATTAAATTGCAGAATGAATGTTATATTAATTTAATAAACTGCTACAAGTTTACAAGAGCTACAAATATTAAAACGTGGTGAAAACCATATATTAGTATTTGTAACCTAATCCCAACCCTAAAACTTCGCAGTATTTAATTGAGAATAAAGTAAATAAGCATTTAGCTAAGTAATACACCAGTTCGAGCCGCGTTATGGAGAATTTAAAAAAAAGACTGGATCGAGTTTACTAGGGAAATAATTCAAGTCGTTTAAACGAGCTTTTAAACAAAGTATAAACAAAAAATATAAACATGGCCGAGTCTATTTGCACGACCGTCGTGCAAATAACGAAAATAAGCTTATTCGCACGACTGTCGTGCAAATAACAAAAATAAACTTATTTGCACGGCCGTCGTGCAAATAACGAAAATAAGCTTATTCACACAACCATTTAAAACAATAAAAATGGCTTTTAGCACGACTATTATATGCATGTATATGTATATTACATGTATACATTTACAAATTAATTGAAATTGAGAACAACAACAATTCATGGTATAAAATTTGTTTAAAATGCACATCCTAATTATTCTGACGGAAAAAAGCAGGCAAGGATCCCTATTTTCTTACAAAATTTGCCATTTTAGCTACGCCAGCCAATATCTAAGTCCACCATTAAAATTTTTTAGCGATGGTGGTAGTCTAATGTGGCAGTTAACAGAGAATTCCAGTTTTTTTACTACAGCATTTGTAAAAAAGTTGTCTTTTATCATGTTTCAAAAAAATTTCGGCTTCTTATTCAAATTATTCGGCTTGTTCTAAGACTTTACTTAGATCCTCAATAAACTGGTCCGATTTATGACGTTACAAAATTGATTCAATCAATTCTATAAATTATTTTGTACTAATTGTATAAGTTCACTACGCTGTTTAAGGTCACTACGCACACGGCGAGTTTGAAGGGTAATCGGTTAAGGGTGAAAGTGAAGGGTAGTTTGAACTAAGACTTGTTGAACGTTTGTCGTATATTAGGTGATTAGTGTCTTAACCCAATTTTGCGGTTCGATACTGAATTCTTTTAGTTGTATTTATACATCTTCTGTAATGATAAGTCTGGACAAGTATAGTCATTAATATGTTAAGGCGTGATATATATAGTATATATTACGCCGTAAACTCCAAATAGAAAGTTCAAAATAGATTATATTTTCTGTTGTACATTTTGACTTAGTTAATATTAAATTTTAACTTCTATACACTTATATTTGATCTATTTTTATATAATCGCAATTACTGTGTATACTGTGCAACTAATTACTGTGTATACTGTGCAACTAGTTACTGTGCATATTGTGCAACTAATTGTTTTTTAACTCTAATGGGTCAAGACGATAGGTACCGCTTGCTGGTTCTATATTTTATAAACCTATTACATTTAGAGAATGAGTTATTCAAATAAAGTAGTAATGGTTGAAAAGTACTCAGACATCCAATTTTGGCATTCAACATACAAATCAACTTTTAGCTAGAGTAGTTTTTAAATTTCTAAAATAAAATATCTCTTTATAAACTCGTTCAGATTTCAAGAAAAGTATAATACGCGCAGCTGCAGAGAAAACACAAAAAAAATGTGTAATAATTATATTCTGGTTAGCAAAACTTTTTTTAAATATCATTTTCATCATCGCCTCGGATATGAATATCTTCACCAACTCGAAACAGAAGAGAAACTCGGTTAAACTTACATAATACCGTTTATACTGATTAGCTTTGATATCTCGACATACTACAAAATACATACTGTAAAACATAAAAATTTACATACTGTAAAACATAAAAATTTAGTTTGCACACCCATTTCAAATTCATTTAAAATGGATGTAAGAAAAGGAAATAAAAAATAATTTTTTATTTACTTTACCTATTGATGCCTTATATATTTTACAATATCTATCGATTATTGTTTCTTTACGTTTATTTATCATAACATGCTTAAACCCTAAGCACCTTAGGGTAATCAAACGTAAAGGAACAATAATATTGGTATTGTAAAATATATAAGGTATCGATAGGTAAAGTAAAAAAAATAATTTATTCTTATTTCATACAGGGAGTTTTGGAAGAAATAAAAGGAAGTGGGAATTTTATCCCAGATCTAATTAACGGGGTGCGGACAGGCGTAATAAAAGGGTTGATGGGAAAAATTTTTATTTTTTATCGGTTATTAATATATATATTTTTAAATTTTTTTAAAGTTTTGAGATGTAACGTTTTTATTGTTAACAAGTATATCAATAAACGGGGGTAGGGAGGTCTTAATACGCTTAGGATAGGTGGCAAAATTTTCAAAAATTAATAAATACCCGCTTCTTAAATGAAATACCTTAGTTAGCTGCATGAATTACAATGCCAATGTAAAGAGTTGTCAGAATTATCAAATATATTCTTTGGAATGGAAAGGCATGAAACGTGAAACCACTCCTTACAATTGTCGCATTTGACCATTTTTCTTCTTTATTATCTGGAAGACGACATATGCAATATAGTGGTAAATTAATTGGTTTAGGTTGTTTTTTCTTTTTTCGTTTATTAGCCTCTATAGGGAATGGCGTTAAGTAATTGTCACTGAAGCATTTTAACAAATGATTCCGCATAAGTTCTTGCTTATAGCATTTTATGCTTGGATCATAATTGTAACATAAATCTGTTGCCACTGCAATTGCAAAAAGACCACAATCAAGTCCACCAGATTGTCTTTGGAAATCTTTGAACTGTAATTTCAAAAAAGGTTTTTTAACCATCATGATTGATCCTACTTGCATCTTTCCACTAACACTTAAGTCATAATATAAGGAATCAAAAGCATCAACTGAGTTAAGATGGGTACTTAAAAAATTTGAAATGGCAAGCCAATGCATTGCACCATTATGTAAAATTTGAACAAACTTTCCAGATTGCACTCTAAAATGAAGTTTTGATCCAAGAATTTTTTGATAAAAGAAGTTTTGATCCTTTTAATCCTTTTACATCTGGAAACTGCATGAATAAACGCTTTTGTGCTTTATTTATGTGCAAATCAGATAACATCTCGAATGAGTCCTTAATGGAGAATAGTTGAAGATCTATGACAGAGAGTTGCTTTTTTAATAACTGTTTCTTATGAGCAGTTTTGCCTAAAATTCGCTGACACGATTGATGGTAAGAATCATTATACAAATCCCGCTTCCTTTTGAGCCTTGCTTTTTTAATCTTGATATTTCCTACAACTAGATGGACTTTAGGTAAACATACACTTGCTAAATTATTAAAAATATCTATTGCTTGGCCGGTGCAGCATTCAGATTTAGTTGTAGGAAGATCTTTGAAGTTTACGCTGTCATTTAGAGAAGATTGATTTGGAGATAAAACGCTTCCTTGATTTTGAAGTTGTTCATTTAAAGTTAGACTAGATGGTAGCAGAGAACAAAGATTCAGAAAAGTTTGGAGAATTGGACATCTCTGGCAAATCAGACATTTTGGTCAACTCTGACGTTTCTAGAAAACCTGACATTTCAGGCAAATCTGAGATTTCAGGCAAAGCAGACACTTTGGGCAAATTAGAGATTTCAGGCAATGCTTGCGCTTCCATATCAGAAATTATAACTTTTTTCTCAGCTAACCACAATTTATAAATTTAATTTAAGGAATCAATTTTTTTTTCAAACTCGTTCATTTCGAGAGTGGATAAATAATCAGAAATTGGTTTACATAGATTCATGAAAGTTTTAAATTTCTGATCTTTAGAAAATGGCACTTTTAGTGCCTTTTTTCGGTTTTATTAGTTGAAAAATGAAAAACATTGTTAGCCTGATTATGCAAACTTCTGGTCTTACGAGAAAGCCAACTTCTTTTTTGATAGCTTAAATGCCATCGCTCTCCTGCATCTTCTGCTTTAAAAATAGCATCACCATTTACTATTTTCACTGCCATTCTATGCCAACAAGGAAGTTTCATAGTAACCTGCAAAGGACACGAACATACTTTATTTAACATTAACAAATCAGTGCGAGACTTTTTTAATTCTGAAATTACAATTCCAGCAGCATATGGAGTTAGAACCTTTACAATCTCATCTGTAACTATAGCTTCATCAGTACCTAATCTATATAGCTCTTTAAAAGATTGATTAAACTCAATATGAGCCATTTGTTCAAATTTACCAGTATGTAACAAAAGGATACCTTTTACTGCCTCTGCTAAGGACATTTTCCTAGACAATATGTTTTTAATTTTTTGGTTATGGGACTCGGACTTGTTATTTGTTGTATTACCAAGATTAACATACTTGATAGTTTCATAGTATGCCCAATAATTAACTTGGTGTGGCAAGCCCCAATTTTTGTTGTAGTATGCCATTACAACTTCTGGTGCAACTGTAGCAAGATGACCCAAATTTATATCAAACAATTTCTTTGATTTTGCATACACAAGCAATTTAAATATTTTTTTTAGATTATCTTTTTCTATACTAGCTAAACCTTGTTTATTTAAAAATCTATAAAATGCTTGCAAAACATGAAACTAACACAGTTGGATTTCTGCTGTAGGCATAACCTTGGAAACTGCACCTATTTTTTTCAGGTCCTTGTCAAAAATGACAACCTTTAATTGGTTAAGATTCAGTATAAGTTCAATTTCTGAAAGCACATCTTGCAGAGTATTTTCAGTTTCTTGTGCAATGAAAGCATAACCAACAGCCTGACCTTTTCCATTTCCATCCTCAACTAACAGAGTGAATAAAGGCATTCTTAATTAGTTTGTGCAATATGTGCAGTCAATCATTAGCACTTCAGGAAACATATCAAACACCTGCTGCATATCTCCACTTATTAGTAAAAGAAACTGCAGAACACCTTCTGAATCAACTTGAACAGATATAACTGTATCATTTTCACCTGAAATTAAAAATCAAACTTTAACTAAAACTTTTAGATAATATATAAATAAAATAAATTGATTAATAAAGTGCATTATTTAAACTATAGTTGAATTATAACCCATTTAACTCAAAGTACAATAAACCTCTGAATAAATCTCTGAGTACATTTAGGTTAAAACTATCAGGCGTTCACTGCCTCTATATATATACTAACTCTAAATCATAAATACAAAAATTAAAAAAATTTAAAAAGAAAAGTTAGAGCAGAAGGCTTACAGAAGGGCATGAGTTCATCGATCAAGCCTCATTTGGTTTTTCACAATTGCGTTCTAGTTCAATTTTTTTATTTATGTTGAATAAATCTTTCGATGTTACTATTTTTCTTTCTTATTTTTTAAATATTCTTTTAAAAAACAGACTTTAACACCAAGTTTAAACATTGTGCCAATATCATCTTTAACTATTTCACTTAACCGGTGTTGTTCAGGGTAATGCATAAAAGCAGTTATATGAAGGCATAAATATAAATACAAATTAAATAAAATTAAAAAATAAAAATTACAATAAAAAAATACAAATTAACTCAAAAAAGTAAAAAAAGTACAATTTTTTACAAAATAAACTAATAATAAAATATAGTTGTACTAACCTGCTGACTTCATGGTTATGGTTAGCCTGAAGTTGCTGTACTACTAGTTTTGTTTTATCTTTATTAATACTAATATAAAGTTTGGCACTACATCCAATTTTGAAAAAGCTAAAAAAAAAGTAGTGAAAATCTTCACTTTCTGAAAATTATTGAGTTCTATCAGTGGGTAGTGAGCATTATAATGTTCACTACCCACAGAGAAGTGCATGTTGTAGTTGATATGAGATCTTATTCAAGCTCGAATGCCAGCTTCCACAAGCCAGTCAAAAACAAGCAAAAAATGATTAAAATGAAATTTAGCATACACAAATAAAATATTAGATTTCTTTTCTTTTAGAAAAACTTTTAGATAAAAAGAAATTAGATAAACAAAACATTTAAAACTTTTGATTTGGGCGAATTCCTTTCCCTTTTGTTCTCTTAACTCCTCCATGCTTGCATGAATATGTTACATTTCTAAATTTAAACTTCTCATCAAAATGTTTTGAATTCTGACTCAAACCCTTACTAGCCAATGTAACAGTTTTGCTGTTACATTTAGTCCATAAAATGTTTGTAAATGCCGACCAAGAAGCCAATTTATTTTCAAATTCAGCAAAATTATCAAACTCGTCTCCTTGCTTAATTTCAATATTCATGACTAATTTGATAGGCTGAAACTAAAAACATAATTTAGGTTTATTATGCTACCATATTTATAGCCAAAATAAATTAAATAAATCAGTTTATTCCAAACAAGCTACCTGATTGAATTCTAACTTTTTGAATAGAATATGCGTATTATATTTATAGTTTATATATAACCGTGGTCGTGCGAATAAGCTTTATTTCGTTATTTGCACAACGGTCGTGCGAACAAGCTTATTTTCGTTATTTGCACGACGGTCGTGCGAATAAGTTTATTTTCGTTATTTGCGAATATAGACACTTCGTATAAACAGAGCCAATCAATATTGAAACAAAATATAACATATATAAATTAATATGGATTATGATATCGTATGAAAGTTGAAGAGTTATTTACGTCTTCGTGGCTTGAAAATATCTGGAAAAAAAAATTCTTGTTGCTAGAGTCTATTGGGTAATAGAAAACAATAATACCCCTATTAAAACAGCTGAAGAGCTGGAACATGATATATGTACTGAGTACAAAAAAAAACTTTTTGTAAACGGTGTTGAACTACCTGATCCTTTCAAGCTCAGTAAAGGTTGGTTATCAGAAGACGAAGGTCTAACTTTTTGGCTAACATTATTATATCCTGATATTTACAGTTATTTATTTAACCCTGCTGAAATTGCCAGTAAAGACTTAAGTGACTACAAAACGTGTAAAGCCTATAGTTACTCTAAATGTGGTTGGCTTGAAACTTTATTTTACCATCAAGTTGGAATAGATAGTGAATACTGTTATTTAAAAGGAAACTGTAGGAAATCTGAAAAAATTAATGATCCCTTTCACAAGCTATGAATTATTTTTAATAAAAAGACTGCTAAAATAATTTCTGCACATTGTACTTGTATAGCTGGGTTATCACAGACATGTAATCATGTTGCTGCAACCCTTTTTCGAATAGAAACTGCTGTTAGAAATGGTTTGACAAATGTAGCTTGTAGTAGTTTAAAATCAGAGTGGCTTCCAAACCGTAGCATAGTTGAACCAACAACTTAAAATTTAATCGTGATGAATTTGGTCAGCGTGAAAGAAAAAAGCATTTACTAGTATCAAATGAAAAGCATAATTACAACCCATTGGTAAACTGTGACTTGAAGCGTTTAAAATTAACAGTTATAGCAAAAGCAATTAAAGCTGTTGCTCCTCATAGTATTATAATTTGTGTTGTAGAAAAAACTTAGGTTTCTTTAAGTATAAAAAACTTAGGTTCCTTTGATTCAGCTAGGTTTATTTGACCTAAATCTTTAACAAACCAACTTAATCTTAGAAAAGAAATCAAAACATGTGATTAATTTTATCAAATCTCTATACCGATTTAATTAATCTCGATATAGAG